TGCAGGGGGAAAAACTCCCAGCCTCACAGGAGAGTTCGTTGGAGAGACCCACAGGGATCTTAGAACATACACAGGCCCACACACCCAGCACCAGAACAGCCCAATTTTCTTGTGGGTAGCAAGGGAAGTGACTGAAAACTGGCAGAGAGTGGAGCAAGCCACATTATTTCCTCTTGGACCCCTCCCCCACATACAGCACCACAACACAGCCAAGGAGTTGCACCACCCTGGAGAATAACTAAGGCTCTTCCTCTTATACATAACAGGTGCACCAAGACAAAAAAAATTGCCCCAAATGAAATAAAACATCAAAGCTCCAGGAAAAATACAACTAAGCAACGAAGAGATAGTCAACCTATCAAATGCACAGTTCAAAACACTGGTAATCAGGATGCTCACAGAATTGGTTGAATATGGTTACAAATTAGATGAAAAAATAAAGGCTACGAAAAGTAAAATAAAGAAAAATGTACAGGGAACCAACAGTGATGTGAACGAAACCAGGAAAAATGTACAGAGAACCATCAGTGATGGGAATGAACAAATCAATGATGTGGACCACAAGGAAGAAAGAAAATCTTCAACAAAAACAAAATGAAGAAACAAAAATTCAAAAAATGAGGAGAGGCTTAGGGACCTCCAGGACATCTTTAAACATTCCAATATCCAAATCATAGGGGTACCAGAAGGAGAAGAGGAAGAGCAACAAATTGAAAACTTATTTGAACAAATAATAAAGGAGAACTTCTCCAATCTGGCAAAGAAAATAGACTTCCAGGCAGTCCAAGAAGCTCAGAGAGTCCCAAAGAAGTTGGACCCAAGGAGGAACACACCAAGGCACATCATAGTTACATCACTCAAGATTAAAGATAAGGAGAGAATCTTAAAAGCAGCAAGAGAAAAGGAGACAGTCACCTACAAAGGAGTTCCCATAAGACTGTTGGCTGATTTCTCAAAAGACACCTTGCAAGTAATAACAGGCTGGAAAAAAGTATTCCAAGTCTTGTAAGTCTTGGACCTACATTCAAGATTACTCTCTCCAGCAAAGCTTTCATTTAGAATGGAAGGGCAGTTAAAGTGTTTCCCACATAAGGTCAAGTTCAAGGAGTTTATCATCACCAAGCCCTTATTATATGAAATGTTAAAGGGACTTATCTCAGAAAAAGAAGATAAAAAATATGAACAGTAAAATGACAATAAACTCACAGTTAGTAACAACCACACCTAAAACAAAACAAAATCTAGTTGTTTGTTGAGCAAACAACTAGAATAGGAACAAAATCACAGAAATGGAGATCACATGGAGGGTTATCAGCAGAAGAGTAGAAGGGGGAAAGGGGAAAAACATATAGAGAATAAGTAGCATAAATGGTAGGTAGAAAAAAGGGGGAGGTTAAGAACAGTATAGGAAATGTAGAAGCCAAAGAACTTTTATGTATGACCCATAGACATAAACTAAAAGGGGGGAACGTGGGTGGGAGGGGGCTTGCAGAGTGGAGGGGAATACAGAGGGGGAAATGGGACAATTGTAATAGCATAATCAATAAAATATATTTTTTTTAAATTAAATGCATGAGAGTAACAAGAATGAAAAGGAATAGATATGTAAAACAAGGAAAAAACACTTATGAAATCGGTGACTGATTAGATAGGAAGAGGAAAGAAATCTCCATCCTAGTTGCTCTTGTTAGGATTTCTGAAGTTCATCCATCTATATGGTTTCTAGCTACAGAAAAGGCCATAGAGGAACCCTTGAAGAATATCCTTCACCGCAGGGAAACTTACCTGAAAGATTTTCAGAGTCTGAGATTCACCCTCACCCTGACCTATTTCATCCTGGCCTACCAAGATTTGTTACACTCCAAGATCATTTCCATGTTGAGCCCCAAAACAACACCATTTAACGTTCCTATTGAGGCTGGTCTGCTAAAGCCAATGAGATCTTCCAAGTTTCCCTGGGCCTGGAGACCAAAAAGAAGAGCAATGTCAGACTTATGCTAATTTGTCTTTATTAACCCCTCCCCTGGGCCCCCTTCAGCCTTTGTTGAGGGTCAGAGCAATTTTTTTTTCCATGAGTCAATTTGATCAGAACCTAGAGGACTAGGACAAGTTGGGCTGGGATGATGAGGAAAGTTTGATCACCTGGAGATCAGAAGATTGGCCATTTGTTCAATGAAAATGAAAGGTAGGGAAACCAAAAGACACCTCCCCCAAAGACTAGGGTTATAGCTGGGGCAGGAGGTGACATCATATAAAATCTACTGAGGTCATAAAAGCTTCCCTCTCTTCCCCTGTCTGACTCCTCACTGCCACATATACACACACTTACATACAAAGCCCGAGAAGGGTCAGACACCATCCAGCCACTCAGGTACCAAAAGTGGGGACATGGTTGGGGGTGGTGATTTCTCAGAATGTAGGATCCACACTAGTTTCCCTAGTGCTGGGAACAGTAATTGGAAAGAGGGAAGAGAGGAATAGGGAGGAGGGTTTTTTTCCCCTGTTGCTGATTCACATTTTATCTTAACCCCCATCCTTTTTACTCCTCAGTCCTCCCTTCCTTTCCTCCCTCACCCCTCAGTCTCCTCCTCTACTATCCTCCCCAGCCTCCAGCTGATCATGGCATCAGAAGCAGAAAAAACATTTCAGCGGTTTGCTGTCTTCGGAGAATCATCAAGCAGCGGCACTGAAATGAACAACAAGAATTTCTCCAAGCTGTGCAAAGACTGTGGTGTCATGGATGGCAAGACAGTCACCTCCACTGATGTGGACATCGTGTTCAGCAAAGTCAAGTAAGGAACCAAAGGTGGGAGTAGGGGTTGCGAGTAGAATAAACAAGAGAGTGAGACGTGGAAGGGTTTATGTGATAGAGCACTTGCAATGGGTCTACTGAGTACCTACTGGGTACCTGGCACGATTTATTTTCTGTCCTCAAGACATTCAGTGACCAAGTATGAGTAAGGGGAGGGTTGGCCCTTGGTAGGTAATGAATTCATGTTTCAGAATTCCTGAATTTCTGTCTGACTAACCAGGGCCAAGAATGCCCGAACCATCACTTTTCAGCAGTTCCAGGAAGCAATGAAGGAACTGGGCCAGAAGCGGTTCAAGAGTAACAACCCAGATGAAGCCCTGGAGAATGTTTATAAACTCATAGAAGGCAAGGATCCGGCTACCACTGGTGTTACTGTGAGTGACATTCTTCATCCCTAACACCTGACCCTACTTCCCTAAATTCTGCTGCTCCTTCTCCTCTTCCACCCTCCACTGATCCTAATGCCTGCCAACACAGGTACTCAAGGTGTACTACAGAATGCCTCTGGGGCACTCTTCTTACTAGAATAGACTTTAGAGACCATCTGGCCCTTTCAGAGGCAAGGAATCTGTGCCCAGAGAGAGAAAGTGACTTGCCCAAGGTCCACAGCTATTTTCACAGCAAAATCTAGACTCATTCTCAAGTGTCCAGTATCTGAGTCAGGCAACTAGGGCCTGGTGGACACAGAGTGCAGAGGACTTGGTATGTGATCCCTAGTCTTCTTCCTGCTCTCATATAAAGTCTGATATCTGACTTTCTTCCCCTCATCCCTCTCTGTTCCCTATTTGTCCTCTCTCTACTAAAAGTTCTTTCTACTACAGTAGGTTTCAAATAGGACCTACCCAGTAGGAGGAACCTTGCATATGGACTCTGGGATTGAAGTGCTCTGGCCATAGCCTCATCAAAATAACTTCTCTGGAAGCAGAAAAATGCACACACAGTCCACTCACTCTCATACACCAGACTCCTCTTCCCTCACTGGTGGATGGCTCTTGCCACAGTTACTTCCCACAGCCACATCTGGGCTCAGAGAAAACAGCACCATGCCACAGGTAGAGCAAGAATCAAAGGCCATCTTTAGAAAAGGGGTAAAACTCTGGAGGGGGAAGGAGAGGGATCAGACCCATCATCCTCTGCCTTGCAGAAAGCAACAACTGTGGGCGGGGTGAGCCGGCTAACGGACACCAGCAAGTACACTGGTACCCACAAGGAGCGATTTGATGAGAGTGGCAAGGGCAAAGGCATCGCAGGACGGGAAAACATGACCGACAACTCTGGCTATGTGAGTGGCTACAAGGGTGCTGGCACCTATGATAAGAAGTTTAGCAACTAGGGAGAGCCTCGTCTTAGCCTGCCAGCCATCAACCCTGCATCTTTAACACCATGGATCTTGGGGAATAATAAACATCTGTGTGCACAGCAGCTAAGGAGCTCTGTCTTCAACCAGGGTAAGGGAGGGTTGGGCTCATGGGTGTAGAGAAAGAGGGTGTAGGAGAGAAGAGAAAGTCCAAGATGTCAGGGTTCCCAGCTCTCCATCTTTTGCCCTACTTAGCCTACTGCCTCCAAGTCAAAAGTTAGTATTCTCCTCAGCTGATCAGGGCTGAGGAATATATTTGGAGATAAGTGATGAACCAGATGTGGAGGTAAAAGGATTTGCTATTTGCATTCACACACACACTACTGGTATTCACCCCATGTAGACACACCTGCCAAAGGGGAGTAGCGATTCCTGATTTGATGGAAGATGATCCAGATAGCATCAGACAGACCCCTGTCCCTCCACCTTCCTCGTCTGTTGTAATACAGGCTTTTCTGTGGGGAGAAATAGAAGCCAACTAGGGTGGGCCAAGGATCTACTTAGCCTGATTCATTACAAGTTTGTTCTAGAGCTGGGGGAACAGAGAATCCACTTTCAACACTCAGCTGAAAGTGAATTTTACCCCACAGCACCTCCATCATGGTTCATGTAGAACAGAAGATCCTATACAGCTAGGGGTAGCCCAGGTGAGTGGTCTTCAGGACTTTAATAGTAAGAGTTCTAGTGCACTAAGGAGAAAGGAATGAAATAAAAACTGAGCCCCATGTGGTTTTTTATCATTTTATTTTTAAATGATTATAGATTTATAGGAAGATGCAAAAATAGTACTGAGAGGTTCCATGTACTCTTCAGTTTCATCCAGTGGTTACATCTTACATAACTCAGATGTGGCCTTGAAACCTTCTGCAACTACAGCCAGGCCCACGTCACCCATCTTGTCAGCAGCAGATCCCAGAGTTTGGGGATCATCAGGAGGAACTTTGGGAAGGAACAGGTTGCAGGAATGTCTAGGGGGATAGATCAGGGAAAGTAATGTGAAATTTTACAGTGAGCCAAGGTGAGAGTTGTGGAAAAGGAGGCTGGAAAGGTTAGGGAGAGACACTGGGCTCCATGATGGAAGGAGGGAGAAAAGAACATGTTAGGAGAAGAACATGATTTCATAGAGAGGAACAGACAGGGAACTAAGGGGAAGTGAGGCTGAAATGAACCTAAAGGTCTCAGGAAGGTTCCTATTGCTAGAGATACCTATAGTGTGGGTGAGTGAGTGGAGGGAACCATAGGGAAATGAGGAAGACTGAAAAGAGAAAGGTGTTGGGGATGGGGAGTTGAAGTATTGAACTGGGTTCCTGTTGCCATGGTGTGAGCTGAGGCTCTGGGCCTCCATCCAGGATTCAGTATCTGGCCCAGTGGATGGACAGTCACTGCCAACTGGATACAGTCAGCTTCTTGGGTGGGAAGAACTGTCTGTGGGAGAGGGAAGATGATGGGGGAGGGGGAAGGTAAAGAAGTTAGAAAGAGCCTAGAAGACAGTTATGACTTTGCAGTGTGATCAAAGCTATGGACATTTTTTTCCTACCTCCTTGGTCTCTTGGGAAGGAACCCTGCTTACCTTCAAAATCAGAAAGGAAACTTTGTACCAGGGATCAGAATTTTGGAAATGAGGACCGGCTGCTCTGTGGTAGGCAGTAGTGGGTGGTTCTCAATGAAAACCTCCTTTCCCTAGTAGAGACCTATAATACCTATTGGTTCAGCATCATACTTCCTGGAACAGAGCAGGTAGAGCCTTTGGTTGGTCAGGGTGCCATTGTAGCGGCAGCCACTGGGTGGCTGCATGGTAATCAAAGAGCAAATTGTGAGGGGGAAGGAGTCCTGGGTGAGTGTACAGTATTCATTGTAATTCTCACAGAAGTTCTCACAGTACTTGCAGAACTTGTGAATTTCTGTCTCCGGGGCATGTATCACATAATGGTTCTTTGGGCAATACAAGTCTTCCTTTCTGCCGCGTACATAGGCCATCAGACCATTACAGTAGCCCTGAAAACCTTGTGGGTAGTTGACTCTAGGATAGTCAGTGTGTAAGTCATAGAAGTCCTTGACGGCAAACTGCAGACTGAAGTCCACAACCAAATTTGGCTCTAGAACAAGCTGGAGGAACAGGAGCCAGGCCACAGCTAATGCCATTCTTCCTGCTGGTAAAGTTAAGGTGGTTAGAGACAGAGGTGGGCCTAGAGTGGCTGTCTGCCTCTTCCCTGAGCCTCCAGCATTCCCCCAACCTTCCCTGTATGCCTTCCCTTACACCTGAAGAGCCAGACTGTACCTCAGAGATCATCCAGCCATAGACCTCATGCCCCAGAGAGGGGAGACGCTTAACCACCATCACCCAGCTAATCAGCCACCTTCAGCCATTTCCCCCTTCCCTAGGTCCACCTACCATCCCAGCCTCACCCAGTTCATGAGCTATAACACTTACAGAATAAGAAATCCAACTGGTTCCTGGGTGAGCAACTCTTCACGACTATCCCTGAACCCAGTCAATCCTTCTGGTAAAAAGATACAGTGGCAGTAGAAGGAACAGGCTGAGCTATGATTCTGATTGTTCTGGAGGAAGGAAAGAAGCTGGAAGCTGAGCAGGGCAGCAGGCAGGGTTTCTTCTCACCTGAGGCCAAGGGCAGCCCAAAGGTGAGAAGAGGCTGGAAAGGTTTCTGCATAAATACCAGTCTGGGAGGATGGAATGTCCCCTGAGTTTGAGAAGCCCCTGTGCTTAGGTGGTTGGATGGGTGGGAGGAAAGAGACATTACAATCTGGTTTCCTCCTTTCTGGTGTCATAGGAACACTTAGTTCCAACCTCCTTGTGAGAGGTCTCTAAGTTCTTGGGCTTTCTTTGATGTCCATAAGCCCTGCCCCTGCAGAAGGTGAGAAGAAAAGTAGTCTCATGTTTCTGGGGAACAAAGGGCTCCTTATTCCCGACCCTTAGAGAACAGAGCGTCTGCCACTGCCTCATCCCATGCACAAGAGCCCACGCACATGCAAGAGCCTCCCACCAGAATGATGCACTGAGAATCAAAGACATCTGTGTGGACCCCCCACGGTCCCCATCATCAATCTCACAATTACAATGACATAGTCACACCATTCCCTCCTCCCCCATAACCTCTGGCCCTTTTGGAGTCAGGGCACATACGGAAATTTTTGCTTGCTGACCCTGAAGCCTCAAATGTGTCCAAAGGTTGGATTAGACAGCATAGTTTGGACTGAGGTGGTGTAGGCCACGTGAGCCCAGCAGATCAGATTCCTGCTATCGTTTGTCATGTTGGCAAAGGGCTGGGCTCCTAACTCCCCATTTCACTGACCCCTGCCCCTTCATCAGAAGCTAAGAGCCTGCCAGCCACAGCTCTTGATTTTCACAGGCCTCTCAGCCCGGTCTCCCTGCAGGGTAGGAGCCAGGTCTTGGGCTTCCTCTCAGGAGATCAGGGAGTCAGACCACAGAAACTTGAGTGCTCCAAGGCCAATGTGTACTTCAGCAGCAGATACAGAGAGACATATTGGTGTTCCTCATTCATAGTCCCCCTAACTTGCTCTTTCTGATAGCACAAATGTGAATATAAAACTGAAACCCCTTTCCACAACTTCTCCTCCTTGTCATCTATTTCAGCTTCCTCAGTCACCTGTACAAGAAATATGAGACTGACCCTAGACCTCTTCTTCTCCCAAACTGCACCTGTGGGGAGGCTTTTGAGTAAAGCAGACCAGAAACTGAATCCTGCTCGGTTGTTTACAGGCTGTGCACCATCAGTCTGAGTTTACTAAAACACTGTAAACTTCAGTTTCTTTATCTATTAATGAGGATGATATTTTATACCTTGTGGCAATATTAGGATTCATTAAGATGTATATCAAGAGCTTTTAGCCCAGGGTCTGGCACATGTTGAGTATTCAAAACCCTAGAAATCTTATCTAAACTTTTCCTAAACCTTTCTCTTCCATTTCTATTTCTTCCCCTGCTGGGTTTCTCGTGTCTCCTGAACACCACACACACTGCAACTCTGGTCAGGCTCTACTCCTCATAGGATATAAGACTTCCCATGACCTGGCCCTTGCCATGTCTCCAACTGCATCTCCACGCCTTCCTGCTTCCCCCAGGGAGCCCTAGCCTACCTCCATGTCCTTGCTCATGTCATCTCCTCCTCATGCTCTTGCCCCCATGAATTCCACTGAGCTGGCTCATAGGAAAACAAATTCCAGGAATCCTGTATAAGAAGCCTCTACTTTGAAGACCTCTCCAGGGAAGTGTGCACAACCAAGCAAGTGAGGGAAAATCCCACACAGGCAAGTGGCCCATCTGTGTCCTTCAGGCTGGTGCCTAAGCCAACACTGATCAGGGAGCCCATGCATGGAGGTACTGGCATCTGGCTGACTCAAGTCTTTGTTTGAGGAAGCTTACTATACTGTGTGGTCCCCACATCAAGGCAAGGCATGCCATCTCTTCCCTTTTTGCTCAAAGATGCAACTTGGTCTTTCTCTTTCTTCATATACTACCCGCCCACCACCACTCACCTCTGCACACACAATTACAGAAATGGAACAGCACACTGCAGAGGAAAGAGTTCAGGACTTGATATTAGATAACCTGTGAGTTTCTATTTCCTCTTCCGTAAAATGGGATTAATACCTTTCTTACCTCTTGAGGCTATAAGATAGAATGAGATGGTCTGCATGAAAGTGCCTTTTAACAAACAATATTTAAATGGATAACTGGGGATGGTCTCCTAGGTTCCACACCAACTCACATTTTTCCCCAATTCACTGAACATTTATTTGCAAAGCCTCTTCCATTTCCCAAATGGGCCAAGTGACCTGCCTCCTTCCCAACTCTGCCAATCTAGAGCTCCATCGAACACCTGACTTAAAATTCATCTTCACAAAGCTTTCTATTATTAGCTGTGCCCCATGTTGATTACTCCAAAATATTTTTAAAATAGTTGTAAAATATCGTTTGAAATGCACTACAACAAATTTACGGGGAAATATAAAGTCAGTATGACAGATCCAGTCCAAATTAAGTTTACAATTCAAAAGGAGAGACACACATATGAGTATATGTTACAAAGGCATGAGCCACAGAGCCAGGAAAAGCACTGAATGTGTGATGCGCCTTTTGGTTTTCCAACTGCCATCCTAGTGGTCTGGTTTTTAAAATCCTATTCTAGAGGATTGATTCATAGGATCGCTCCTTCCATTCTGACACCCTTGTTGTGGTCTCATCCGCTCCCTAAGTCTGAGATCTGTGGAATTGTTACCCCATTACACTGAACTTTACTTACACAAGAATTATCCTAGAAATGAAGGAACTACGTTTTAGAGATGTTCAGCAGCTGGCTCAAGGTCACAAGTCTAGTTTGGTGGTTCTCAACAGGAAACAGTTTGTTCATAGCAGAGACATTTTGGGTTGTCACAGCTGGGAGCTGCTATTGGCATCGAGTGGGTAGAGGCCAGGGGTGCTGCTCAACATCCAACATTGAACAAGACATCTCCCACAACAGAGAATCATCCAAACTGAAATGCAAATACTGCTGAGATTGAGAATCCTGGCCCAGTGAGAGAATCAGATTTCCCAACAAGTGCAGACTTATTTGTTAGATTTTGCTTGTAATGGTATTGCTTTTTCCACCACCAAAAGGAGTGCTGATAGTTCACCACTGGAATAATTTTTAGCTATTTTTCTTGTAAAGGTGACCCTATGCATGCACCCAACTACATATTCTCTCTCCCCACTTCCCCAAGGGTAAGCATTTCTAGAACAGCTGGCTGCAGTGGCAGGTGCAGGGATGATTGTCTATGATTGAGGGGAACCCCCAAGACTTTCCACAGAGTGAGCTCACCTCAGTCTCAGTGGTATCCCTTTTTGCCCTATCTAACTAAAATTGCTCAAACAGTGTACTATGTCACAGACAGTTCCTGGGTTGTCCTCAAACCTAAAGGATTGCTTCAGTCATCTCAACTTCTTGTCATAGCTACAGGTCAACCTCAGGGTTGATGTCTAGGAGCTGCATTGTCAGCTTCTCACTCTGCTAACCAATGCTATGGACTGGTCATGATCCCATCTGGTACTGGGATCACTCGGGGGCAGAGTGAAGGCTTTCTAACCCAGAGGCTGAATCAGTTAAGGTCACTTATCTGCAAGGCATTATACTGTGTCCTGTGGGAGGTACCAAAGAAATGTAACAGATGGTCCTTGTCTTCCAGGAGTTGACAGTCTAAACTGGAGGAAAATAAAAACTCCATATGAAGAAATAACCAACAATTCAAGGTAGAAAATTATATGTCTTAAAGACAGTAAGTGCAGGAATTTAGAAATGAGAAAGTTCTCTCTGAATTGAGAGAATCAGTCTACGGCCATACCACCCTGAACGCGCCCGATCTCATCTGAATTGGGAGAATCAGAGCAACTTTTGAAGGGTTATCCTGGAGACTTGGGGGTGGGTCTCAAGGAACAGTTAAGTGGAGATGAAGAGAATTATAAGTCAGGGCACATGCCTGGGTTGCAGGCCGGTTCCCTGCAGGCCAGTTCCCAGCAGGGGATGCACGAAGGCAACCACACATTGATGCTTCTCTCCCTCTCTCCTTCCCCCCTTCCCCTCTAAAGATAAATAAATAAAGTCTTTAAAAAAATCCCCAATTGTTTAAAAAAAAGAGAGAATTATGAAAGGTATATTTGAAAAAAGAGAGAGAATCAGCCTGGCTAGAGTTGAGGCACTCAGTGGAAGAAAAGTCAGAGATAAAGTTGGAAAAACAGGTTTATGAAATTGTAGCAGACCTTGAATATCAGGCTAAGGAATTTATATTTTATTCTGTAGATAAATGGGGAGCTAGCTGACAGTGGCCTCTCATGAGGGAGGTCTCAAGCCCAGGTCAGGTTCCCCTCTCTTACATCCTGGCTTGACTAAACACATTGGCCTGGAAGCCAAAGATTCCAACCTCCTGTCAGTTCTGCCTCCTCCAGACCCACAGCTATTCCAGAAAAGGTCATGAGAATTCAAAGACCCAAAGCAAGTTCCACATCTGACCCCAACTTGCTGTTTGTTTTACTTTACCCGTTTATGCAAATGAGCCCATTACCCTTATTTTACCCTAGGAGCAACAAAATTGGGATAACAGAACTCAGATCTGCTCCTGCTTGGAGGAAAACTCTCATGGGCTTTCCACTGGTATCCTGAGGCTGTGTAGAACTCTGGAGGGAGACAGGCTGGGCTCTGCAGGGAGGGCACCTACCCAGGCCCAGCCCCCCTCTCTCCCAGCCTCCCTCACCCCCTCTCAGCACAGGCTAGAGGAAGCAGCAGCTGTTGTCCTGTGGGGAAGACAGGCAGAGGTCCACCTGGCACTGCTGGGGCTTTCACAACACCCGCCCCAGTGACTGTTAAAGCACACACACACACACACACACACACACACACACGCACGCACGTGCACCAGCCGTCTGGGGAGAAGTTGGACCCAGAGCAGTGACTGTGGTGATGAAATGAGAAGGAGGCCGGGGAACTAGCTTCCTCATGTCCCTGGACACAGGCTGCTCACGTGAGTGGCTTTCTTCCCTCCCATCTTCTCTCCCACCATTTTGTCTTCTGTCCTCTAAATTTTCTCGTCTTCCTCCTGCCAGACTCGTTGACCAGCCCCTGGCTTCATGCCTGACTTATTTTATTCTCCCTAACCTTGTCTCCCCATCCCTCCATCTTTTCTTCTTGCCACATACATAAAGTGAAGGAAAAATGGCAAAATTATCTTACCAAGTCCAAGGTGAAGCCAATCTTGGAAGCTGGATAGTTTAGGCAAATAAAATCACCTGCCTTATCCAAATAATTGAGTCAAGGTAAGGGTTTTGGCTTGAATTGTGAAGATGGTAGGTTCAAAGCCTCAAATTTCTTGTGCTAAGCTAAACCTCTACTCTCCCTTCCCTTTGACCTGACACAGTAGGGCTGTGTTTACTTTACTTTCACGTAGCTCTTAGACGGCCTTCTGGAGAATCTAGCATAATGGAGTCGAAAAGCAAACTAGGTTAATTATAATGACAGGGAAACACAAGGGAAGAGGGCAGTGCAAGTCGTGGTTTGGGAACATCTCACTCTAGAATAATGAGCAGTGAGAAGGAGTCTTGGCAAGGAATTCCAATGAGCGCTTGGTCTCCCACCCCCTCCTGTAAGGCCAGCCTCCAGCCCAGGGCTGCACTGGCCTGTGCTGATCTGCATTCTATGCACAGTCTACTTTAAACCTTGGATTTTATCTCCACACATTTGCATTTCTACAGCAGCAGAAGCATAATTCTCTACCCAAAAGTTCAAACTGCAAAGATTCAGACACCTTAACAAAGCAGTGAAAAGCTGTCCCCACAGCCAAGGCCTCAGGGGAGGGTGAACCGGAGAGGCCGTAGGACTGTGTGAACTTGCTCCTGGTTCTCTGTTGCCATCTAGTGGTGTTTTCCACCCCTAACACCACGTTTTCTTCCCAAGATCATCCTGACCCACAGTGGCACTCCCCATCTGCTATAATGGTGTCTGCCCTGGACCCGAAACACCCAAACCCTAACTTCTGGACCAGAACACAAACTTTATATTCCAGGTGGTTTACATGGCCTCTCTATGGTTACAGTCCACACAACAGCCAGGGGATCTTTAAACAAATAGGTCTTTTACTCCTCTGCTTAGAACTCTCCCAGGGCTCTTCACTGTGCCCAGAGCAGAAGTCTCAGTCCTAACGTTCTTGCCACGATTTGGCCTCTGGTCCCTCTCTGACGCCACCATGCCCCTGCTCCAGCCACACCGGGCCTGACTGTTCCCTCAGGCATACCCATCTGCTTCAGGGCCTTTGCAGTGCTGTTCTCCTTACTTGAAGCATTACTCCCCAGGTGAGCCCAAGTTCACTCTCCGACCTTCAAGTCTTTGTCTCAGAATCACCTACTTCAATGACCCTAATTTAAAAATCACTGTCTGACACCTTCTATCCTGTTCTACTTCTTTTCTTAGCAATGATCACTCTGAGCAAAGTTCCCTACATATTTTTACTTCCTTTCCCTCAATGGAATGTAAGCGCCACAGAGGTATGGATTTTTGTCTCTTTTGCTCATTAATATATTCCAAGCACTATGGCATGTAATAGAGGCTGAATGGAATTTTATTGACCACATGCATGAACCTGAACTCAGTATTCTGCAACCACCCACTAACAAGTGAATCCTGAAAGCACAAATACCGTTCATCTCAGTTTTCCAGGCCTCCCAACTGTGCAGAGTGATGCTTCTCTGCCTCGCAGTCCAGTTCTCCTGAGTGCTTTATGCCAAGCTCCCATGAGCCCCTAGAGCAGCAGTTACCCAAGTTTTCCACAAAGATGTCACTACCACCAGGAACAGGACTTAAAAGGTAAAGGAAGGCCTAAGGCCCCACCACCAACAGCATTTTTAAGTTAGACAGTGTTTTAGTTTTACAAATTTTAATGAAGTAGGGAGAGGAAGAGTGAAGGGTGAGAGGCGACGAGTGCCTTCTTCAGGTAAAGCCAGGTGGCCTTGCTCACCACCTGGAAGTGAGGGACCCAGAGGAATAAGTCATTGTGGCATCGCCAAATTGGGATGGTGCTGGGCATCCTGACTGACAATCTGTCCACTTCCGTCATCTTCATCTCCTCAAGAAGATAAGCAGCAAATCCTGATGACAGGAAACCATATAAAGCTAATTTCTGGGCTATTCTAGCTGTATCTCAGGTCAGAAAAAAAAAAGCAATTATCACCACAGCGATTGGTTGTTCCCAGAATTATGAACCAGAGGTGTATATAGGAGGAGCTAAATGACAACTCTCCCTGAAATTCATTTTGGGTTGATACCTGGGTCAGGTGCTTTATTAGACTCATTAAAAACATGTGGCCAGGGGTCAAATGTAGTCTGAGTGTGAGGATTTAAGCTTCCTCATTGCCAAACAAGTTTAGGCAGGTACATTAGCTCCATAGGTATTGACTTAATTGGCACATGTAGGTGGAGAGGCATGCACCTGATTCATTTCCTGATCCAGGAAAGCTCCCCAGGCTGCCCCACAGCAGCACCACAGCCCGGGACAGCTCTTAAGGAGTCAGGTGGAGAGAAGAAGCCCTCAGAGAGCTGAGGCCCAGCGGTGGGAGGTGCATCCTAGGCCACTGAGCAGGAGCAGCAGCAGCAGCAGCAGCAAGAAGACCCAGTGAAGAGGTAAGACCGGCAAGAGGATATGGGTGAGGAGAGTGAGTAGAAAAGGGATGGGTTCTGACAAGATTAGAGTGCACTCCAGTGAGAAATCAAATGGACAAAGGAGGGACTCGATGTGAAGGGGATGGGGACACACACAGGAGAAAGAGAAAAGTGATGGCAGGGGTGGAGACACAAAATGGGGATGCAGAGGAGACGGGGAAGGGTCATGGAGGGGATGAGACAGAGAAAGGGATAGGGACATAGGGACACAAACAGGATGGTACTTGAGAGAAGGAAATAGAACGAAGAGTGTGAGGCAAGAAGAGCAGAAAGAAGGGAGACAGGGATACAAGGGGTGGGAGATGGGCGTGTGGGGTTAGGGGCTGGGGTCACAGTAGGTGTGGCACAACAGAGGGGAGGGATGAGACCCAGGGTGAGGAAGGGGAGGGAGATGTTGATTAGCTAGAAAGAGTGGGGATAGGGAGGCTCATTTTTCAATTACATACCACTTGCTCTCTCTCCCCAGTGATCCCAGGCCTCCATTCTGACTGTTCCCCCAAGAGAGATGTCACCATCTAGAGCAGGATTCTGCCCTCTACTGCTACTTCTGCTGCTGGAGCTGTGGGTGGCCAAGGTCCCAGTCAGTGCCAAACCCAAACACATGACCTCAGCTCAGTGGTTTGACACTCAGCACGTGCAGCCCAGCCCCCAGGGATGCAAAAGGGCGATGGGCAACATCAACAAGCACACAAAACACTGCAAGAGCCTCAATACCTTCCTGCATGAATCCTTCTCCAGTGTGGCTGCCACCTGCCAGACCCCCATCACGGTCTGCAAGAATGGCCATAAAAATTGCCACCAGAGCAAAGGGCCTGTGTCTTTGACGGAGTGTGAGCTCACCTCAGGGAAGTACCCAAACTGCAGGTACAAAGAGAAGAAACTTCACGCTCATTACATTATAGCCTGTGACCCTCCCCAGCAAGGGGACTCTGGAAAATTCCACCTGGTTCCTGTGCACTTGGACAAAGTCTTTTCGGTTTCCAGCCTTCTTCACTCTCGGGCTGGGCTTTAACTTCCTCTCCAGGCCTCTCTGCATGCTCCTCCTCCCAAGCCCAGAAGGTTCTCTTCCCTTCATTTCTTGGAGCCCTTCCTAGCTCAGGCTTTTTTAAAGATTTTATTTATTTATGTTTAGAGAGAGGGAAGGGAGGGAAGGGAAGGAGAGAGGGATAGAAACATCAATGTGTGGTTGCTTCTTGCACACGCCCTGGGGGACCTGGCCTGCAAGCCAGGCTTGTGTTCTGACTGGGAATCAAGCCAGCAATCCTTTGGTTCACAGTCCTGCGCTCAATCCACTGAGCTACACCAGCCAGGCTAGCTCAGGCTTTTCTGAGAAGTTGATGGTCAGCCAAGGTCTATGCCTTGATAGGCTAAGCTCCAGAATAGATAGTCTTTTACTTTTTGTTACTATTTTCCTAGGAACCTATACCTAAGAGGGGCTGAGCAAACTCAGGGGTGGGGGTTCCCTGGTCCATGCCTTGTTTATCTTTCCCCTGCCCCATGCTATCATGGCAGAATGACAACAGGAGGAAATCGATGTAAGAGGGGTGTATGGGGTTGATGGACAGAGCTAGAAATCTTGCCTAGCTCCGATGTGGCAGTGAAGTGGCCTCTTTGCAAAGGAGTACCACTTCATAGCATTTCATGCTTTTCATGGTATAGTCACATGAGACCTTTGTGAGATAGACTTGATGACATGCCTTCTTTAGGAATGAGGAAACTGAGATTTCAGACATCTTAATTAATCAAAGAGCTGTGAAATTGGTTAATAGCAGCACCTGGACTTGAACCTAAGGCTCCTCCCTCTGCATACAGTGCACTTTCTACTTCACCACTGCGCAAAAATATAGGAGTGAGACCTCTGCAGGGACAAGAGGAGAACTAGAGAAGAGTTCACCCATGAAGAAATGTACCTTGAGAGCTCTGAAGAGCCAGTTACTCTGGGTTGACTTCAATAAAGGTCATTACTTCTCTAGCCAAGAGACTGTTTATGTGGTGCTCCAAGGATCTTCATTATTTCTCTCTGTCTGCCTCTCTACCTGTCCTCCCCCTTCTCCAGCCCACTGCTTTTCCAACCTGGTCCCTGGGCCTGTCTCTGGCTAGATCCCCTTGGCCTGAAGTCATACAGCAAGGGGAGTATCCCAGCTTCAGCCTTCTGTTCCAGGTCACATTTCCCTTGACCTCAAGGGACTTCCGTGGCCCAGAGCCTACTTGTCACAAACAGGCTGACGGGAGCTGCCAGAGCTTCCTTCCTCCTGATAATCATCTCTCCTGCTTTGGTGCTTCCCTGGCTCTCCACTCTGGCAGTCAGCCCGGGCAGTTGGGGTTGAGATGTAGAAATGCTACCTCCCTGTCCCCTTGGGCTGCAGATCCCGATTCTCCCTCCCTGCTGAGCAGAGATGAAGAAGTTATGGCTTTATGTTGCCTAGACCTGATAGCCTCTCCCGCATTGCCTGCAGCTCTGACCCTTACCAGCCCATCTCTCTCCCTTTATCTCAATCCCAAACAAATGGCACCAGGCTTGTATCTGCCCTCCTTCAGCACCCAGCTGGGAAGTCTCCTAACAATTTCAGTGCTCCTTTGCCTCTTACTAAAGTTAGAGGAAGCTTTGGAGCCAGATAGAATTGGGTGTAAATTTGAGCTCAGAGAGTCATGGCCATGTGATGTGGAGCCAACTACTGAACCTGTCTGTAGCTGTGTTTCCGTGTAGAAAAATGGGAGGAATACCACCTACCCAACAGGATTCCTGGAGACTTAGAAATGACATTTAGAAAGCCTTAGTCAGCCTCAGGCACTGCTAGGCATTCAACAATAAAAGATAGTAGTAGTCATGGTGGTAGTAATAGAAATATCCCTGTCCAGTCACATCCACCTTTGGGAAACATGCAGACCAAGACAAATACTGCACTCAGTTCTCCTTGAGGGCTTTCTTCTGCTGGGATGATGTTCATGAGTCAGCTAGAGGACAAGACTGCAGGCAAGTCCTGTTAGGTGGGCTGGATGGATTGAGATGATAAGGAGAGAAGGTGGGGAAGGGATGATCCCAAAAAAAGAGGAGAAAAGAAAAGAACATTGAACGATTCAAGCAGAGAGCAGGGCCAATAAGTTGGTAAGTCTTGAGAGTAGAGATGCACCAACTACATCACAGAGGACTGAAGAGGTACATGAAATGTACATTGTGGCCAAATGGCTGAGTAAAAAATCTGTATATCCTATGGTTACTACCCTATACATTTAACATTCCAAATAGATTTTCAACTAAGGCACAAGACATTTGGGAGTAGCTGATTTTTTCTTCACTTTCTTCTTCTTTCACAATTTTTCATATATTCTTTATTGATGATATCATGGTTTTGAAGACATCCTCCTCATAAAATTTTGAATTTGTTAAGATTATGCCCTTCATGCATCCTCTCAAAATGAGAAGCACTTCCAAATAAGACTTATATAGTTTTTTTAAAGACTATTTATTTTTTAGAGAATGGGGAAGAGAGGAACAGAAACATCAGTTGGTTGTCTCCCACATGCTCTCAACTGGGAACATGGCTCGCAATCCAGACATGTTCCCTGACTTGGAATCAAACCGGCCACCTTTCAGTTCACAGGCCCGGCACTCAGCCCACTGAGTCACACCAGCCAGGGCCCAAAGGGGACTGTTTTGTGAAAGACTCTTGACCCGAACAGTATTAAATAACTAAAAATTAAATATAATTAAAAAGTAATCTGTGGTGACAAAAATGAAAAGTACCTTGGGAAGGGGTAAAAGGTAAGTTAGACGTGTTCTTACTTGGTCTGGATATGTTTACTTTGTGAAACTCATTGAGCTATACACTTAAGATTTGTATACTCACTGTATGTAAATTATACCTTAATAAAAAAATCCTCCTAAAAAGTATTGTTCTTAAGGATTATTTTATTTGACAATAATAAGGGGTAACATAGCAATTAATTCTACAAAGATTATCATATGATGAAATTACAGATGGAATTATGTTATGATCTAACTTTTATTATTCTGCCTTGTACTATTTGTTAAATTAAACAGTACTTGTGTGGTTGAGTGCTGGCCTCTGAACCAAAGGGTTGCTGGTTCTATTCCCAGTCTAGGGCACATGCCTGGGTTGTGGGCCAGGTCTCCAGTAGGGGGCACGCAAGAGGCAACCACATGTTGATGTTTCTCTCCCTCTCTTTCTCCCTCCCTTCCCCTCTCTAAAAAATAAATCTTTAAAAAATAGTACTTGTATTATTTATTAAACTGTTGTACATACTTCGGGATCAAAAAGTATCAACTATTCTTTCTAAAGTTATCCAGCCAATATACTCTCTTCTATCATTTATATTGTCAACTAATTTTCCTAATTTTTAAAAATTTTCCTAATTTTTAACTAAGTGAAAATTCTTTTATTTTATTTTTTTTAAGATTTTATTTATTTATCTTTAGAGGGGAAGGGGGGAAGGAGAGCGGGAGAGAAACATCAATGTATGGTTGCCTTTCATGCATCCCCTGCTGGGAACTGGCCTGCAGGGAACCGGCCTGCAACCCAGACATGTGCCCTGACTGGGAATCGAACCGCGATCATGTGGTTCACAGGCCCGCGCTCAATCCACTGAGCTACACCAGCCAGGGCTGAAAATTCTTAATAATTGTTTTGTGTCCAACATAAGATTTCATAACCATTAATTCATTACAGCATTTTCTTAAAATAATATATATTTATATTTTTACTGAGTGATAGAATTTCAACATTTTTTAAAGTTTATAAGAAAAATTTCACTCCAAGCTTCACCTAGAATGCTCTAGCCACTATATGACAGTGACTATTCAGATATTAATAATAAATTGAAATGACTTGCCTTTTTCTTATTACCGATGCTTTAACTGATTAGGTTTGACAGTCACCCATTCTTTCACATGATCTTGACAAAAGCCAAGTTTAGGAATGCCAGGAATAATGTTGAAATATGCATTTGGCTACTCAGCCTCCCAAAGGTCAAAGCTGAGGTCCAAAATAAATAATAGATTTGAGCCAAACACCAGCACTGGCTGAACCTGATGCATTACTATCTATAAACTGAAAAATAGGAAGAGCAGAATGATTAGTTGTGAGACTTTTCTGTGGCTGGAGGTGGAAGCTTAAAGAAGGGAAGAAGGTATCTAGGGAAGTATTGCCCTACCTTGTGTAGCAAGCTTTAAAGAAGTATTTCAGCCTGGCCCTAAGGAACGGAAATGAAGTCCAGTTTTAAAAAAATTAGCTCGGGCTGGTGTGGCCCAGTAGATTGGGCACTGGCCTGCAAACTGGGAGGTTATCCGTCTGGTTCCTGGTCAGGAGGCATGCCTGAGTTTCAAGCTGGGTCCCCAGCTGGGAATGAGCAAGAGGCAACCAATCCACATCTCTTACATATTGACGTTCCTCTCCCTCTCTTTCTCCCTCCCTTCCTCTCTCTCTAGAAAATAAATTTTAAAAAATCTTTTTTAAAAAATTAAGAACTGGAGCTAGAATTGTTGGCGATAAGAATGGCACCAGTTGTTAGACCTATGGAGTCAGAGAGGGCCTTGGTTCACCAACCTTGGCACTTGAGTTCTGGCTAGGAAAGAATTCAGAGCCAAGACTCAAACTGTAAGAGGAAATTTACTTAAAAAGAAAGTCACAGAGTTAGAAGTGAGTGGTAGAAGAAATGAGCTTAGGAAACAAGTTACAGAAGCAAAAGAAGGGCCCCTGGAACCTAGGAGAAAGAGAGGCAAGGAAAATGTGCCTGGGGGTAATGGGGTGGGAAAAGGTGGGCCTGCTCCCTAGACAGAGCCACACTAGGTCCTCCAGTATGAGGATGTTTATCTGGGGGTCTCAGGGGAAGATCCCAATAGAATATCAGCTTTTTCAGGTGTACCTTCTCAGGGTCATGGTTTCTACTAATTGGACAATGCCAGAGCAGGGGTTCATTAGTCAAAATAGCTGGTCCTGATGTCATCCGTGGTATTGCTTATCTGGTTTTACTGCTTTTCTGGGCCTGGAGTTG